AACTTTTGGGCTACTCTTTTAACAACGAATAGTGGGATTGACCGTCACATTATAACGCCCCCACGGCTAAAAGGACGAGCATGTTTCGTGGAACGAGTATTCGAACCCGCGACCCTCAGATTGCGAGTCGAGCGCCCTAACCACCTTGCCATGCCGGGTCAACATTGAGGTACGAGGAGTTCACACAAACAGAGAACATAAGACAAAAACAAGTTAGGAATCAGAAATACGAGTTCATCTTGTTCATTGAAGCGCCCTTTATTAAAAGTTTATGAGTTGAAGTAGAATGGTTATTCTACACGAAGCTAGGGTGAGATCACAATAAAGATCGCAAACATTAAAGGAGTGACGAGAGTATCTAGCCGTCACGAACTTAACAAATCACTCGAAACAGTGATTACTTTTACATTATTACAGCTCCATTTACTTTTTCATCCTAATGCACTGAATCCACTTAAATCTACTTCTCCGTAAATTTGGTCCTTTTTTTTTAAAGGAAAAACACGAAAGAAAAACAATAACGGACTAGGAATTATAACTGAAGTTTTATATCCTAACTTTACAAATCAGACTTTTTTATATACAAAAATAACACGTTTCAATAAATATAAATATTTTTTATGACTCTTTGCTCTATGTTTATGAGACGATCAATAAGTATGTATGTCTCGTCAGCAAATACAAACACATAAAAAGTTTTTTCTTTACTCTTTATATTATACATTTAATTCATTCTGACGATTTGTTGCCAAATACAATTTGTAAAAGAAAAAAGTAAATTATTTCCTTTTAAAAATAAGTATTGTTGTATTTTTGTTTAACATATGAAATATTTTGTCGATGCGATATGTGACCCACAAGGTATTAGCCACTTCACTGAGTACCTTGTTAAAGCTATCTTATAAGAACTAAGTTAGAGATTACTTTCTGGAGTTATAGAAATATAGAGTTAAAGAAGTGCTTTTTACATTTGAGTTATTAACTCCTATATTTTACTTAATTCACATTCATGTTTCGTTTTTGATTCAATATCTTTGAACACCTAAGCCTCGTAGCTTTTACAAATGTTTTATAAGCCAGTATTTTGAATAAACTATATATATATATATATAATATTACCCGAAAAACACGCCCACATCGTTGTGTTCATTCAATAAACGTGATTTCTGATTTTACTGTATGACAATACACTAAGAACAGTTTGTTTTAACTATTATTCATTGCTAAACCTCACCCAAAACTGCATTATCTAAATGTAAATATCCATTACAAAATGTTTGCTAAAACTAATAATGTTCGGGAAGATGTTGATCGGTAGAATTCATATCCAAAATATTTAAGTAACCATTATCTTAACATGCCCAGAAAAATAAATCAATAATCATTTAACATGAGGTTTGATAGTATATCTACATTACAATATAATATAATATTCTCTTGTTGAAAGGAATGTATGGTCTAACATATTGTGTAAAAATGTATTAGTGATTATAATTTACTTAAAGCGAAAAACATCAGTGCATTTTAAAACCGTAACAATTTACTTATTCTCAGATTAAACATAATCTAATATCATCTCGTGATCCTTCAGAAAACATTTGTCACTTAATATGTTTCATATTTATCAGACAATATGATGTTGAATTATAATTCAGTCGTTGTATTTTGTGGTTCAAATATAACTTGCTAGCGGAAGATCTACAGTGAATGCGTTATCATTAACACTTTCTGAAATTGTAATGTCGAACGTAAACCATTAATTCATAACCCTTATTTTATATCTATATTTTTAAAATATTGACGTTGTAAGCGGTGGTTTCTAACACTATAGACCAGTTAGATTTCTGTAAAACAGAAACAATCTGGCAGATTTCTTCAAAATGAAAGCATTTTTAACGATTCGTAAACTGAACCTGAGGCTGGTGAAATTGATTTAACTTTTTTATGTCATCTTAAACTCGAAAGAATGAGTAGGATTTGGGAAGACGTACATAGATCATTAAATGGGACTTCTTTTATGGTATTTTCTGAAAGAGAAACATAAAAAAATGGAATTATTTGTTTTTCTGTATTTTGTACAAAAACAATCTCCGAAATGTTGGTAATGAAATTCCTATTTTCAGGATTTGTGTGATGGAATACAATGTTTGCGTCCTTGTGTTAAGATTAACCACAATAAATAAATGTAAAATGCACTGACTAGTTTAATAGAGAATTACACTGGAATCCCAAGTCGCATTTCTTTTGTGTAATGATGGACTAGACAATAAGAACGGAGTAACGAAATCATTTATTGTAAACTCAATTGTTTAAAAAAATTCTACACAATAGTCTCAGAGTGAATCAGTAATACTATAACATAGAATGGATCAGAATCATTGATGTTTACAATTTTTTTCTCCAAGGAAAATAACAAACCTAATACCAAATCACATCGAAAGCTAACTTTTTTAAAACAGTTTGTAAATTCTAATTATGCCCATTTGCGCATGCTCGCATATGTAGTGGATAAAAAAAATGACAGAAGCATAACAACAGAATAGCACTTCGGAAACTCTAATGTTTCTATGCAAGTTAATTACCTCATGCCCGGCACACCAAACATGCTCGCCCTTTCAGCTGTGGGGGCGTTATAATGTGACGGTCAATCCCACTATTCGTTGGCAAAAGAGTAGCCCAAGAGTTGGCGGTGGGTGGTGATGACTAGCTGCCTTCCCTCTGGTCTTACATTGCTAAATTAGGGACGGCTAGCGCAGATAGCCCTCGTGTAGCTTTGCGCGAAATTCAAAACAAACAATTACTTCATTGCTAAACAAAATAATTTTAGGTGAACATATCACTGTTTACTTGCCTAGTCACATTTATAAACCTTTCAATTTCACTTACTTTCGTCGCATTTTGAGATACATTATAAAACCAATATATATATATATATATATACATACGCATATAATTCTTTCATGTGAGAAACGATACCATTCTTACAGCTTTTTCTAACAACGTAAGCCAATGCTCATAGTAACACAAACAAACTTTATTATGGGTGTGAACCTACGAAGAAGTATTATTTTGGCCATTTAATTACTTACAAATTTGACTCGCGCACCTCATTCGACATCTTATAGCAGATAGACTGTTCAAGCATAGAAAAGTAAAAATATTTCCTAAAACTGATATACAACGGAAACAGAACTTCAAATCTATCTGCGGAATGTTACTGTTACAGAAGCTGCAAGGAAACGATAATGTGCGTACGTTAAAATATGATATACATATAGGATTGTAGGAATGCGATTCTAACCAATTATGACGAATGTCATGGGAAAGCAAAATGATATTATAGATTTCATTTCTGGTTAAAACAAAAGTTGGTCATTTTTTTGTGTGTTTTTTTTTTAGATATTAAAAAAGTCACTTCTTGTAGTTGGGAACCGTTCTACCTTTAAGGCTTGATAAAATAGACCCCCTGGACGGGTTTAAATGGCCATCATCTAATTCATAACAAATCAAGTTAAGATAAATAATGCATTTAATAACTGTATTTAAATCACTTAAAGTATTATTTAAATGCTCCCAGCATTTTATCGATATCATTGCACGATATCCTACTATTCCTCATGAATATGAGGATGAGATATAATGACCCTGATTTACGTTCAACTCAGGACAAAGAATGACCGACTGCTTGCAAGACTGTGACATTACAATCACATCCAATGAATCCTGAGAAGTGTGGCCATTGATAAAATGCTCAACACTAAAGAAAGCCTGTGGATACCCAAGATGCGTCCTGGGATGAATGTAAACCAAACAGCGTCATCTTTGCTAATGAACCTGATTGTTGAATAGAACCATGTATTGTAGTACTTCCATTGAATGATCAAAAGATGGATATTGATATAAGTATCCGTGACATTCTTTGGTCAAACATAATCATAATGCCCAATGCTGCATTTACTGGTTGATTTCAGGTGTTTGAACTGAGGAAAATTGTTGTACTGATATAGAAATTACTTAAAGCTTGCTTTCCATAAACTAAAACACAACTTATATTCCCGATTTACAAGAAATGTAACAAAAACAAATGTTTTAACTTGTATAGCAAATTATAATACTGTTTTAAAATTTTCTTACCTTTCTTTAAAGTAACTGAAAAATTTCCGTAAATATCACTGACCTTCAAATGTTCGATTCCACATTTTCTGCGTAATAGCTCTTCCATCAGTGATATTGCCACCTTCTTCCAGCGTTTCATTCAGAGCTAGAGCGTACAGTAGGACAGCCTCATGAAATGCCGTTACGTACACGCTGACCTACAAAGCGTAACGTAAACAGTGCATTGGTAAGACTCGTTTACACAGAAACAATTACATCTAACCACACAAAGTTTTCACTTTGCACAGTCAACAGTTTTTAAAGAAAATAGCATCTCCAAAAATCAGTAAAACAACCACAGATTCTATACAACAAGCCTAAACAAAATACATTTGTGGTGATGCCCATGTTCTGAACTATATGTTCTTTATCTGTTGTTTCTTATTATTAGAATTACGTGGAAAATATATGAATACGTGTACCGATGAGTGGATAGAATGATGAAACGTATTTAAGTGTGGATAACGAATAGGCAAAGCCTGAGAGAATGTATTGAGGAAGCTGTTACATAGATGAATAGTTGTGCTGGTTCGATGTCAGAAATTTTAAGATATAGACAAATAAATCTAGATATTATTTAAATAAATTGTAGTTCGAATTACTGGTTAATTAAAATAATTCTAAATTAACATTATCTCATTATTTATGTAAGACGCCAAAAGGCAAGATGTATTAAATACTTCACTTTCCTCTTTACATGGCACCAGAATACATGGTACCAGAATATATGTTACCAGAGTATATGTTACCAGAAACATGGTACCAGAATACATGGTACCAGAATATATGTTACCAGAAACATGGTACCAGAATACATGGTACCAGAAATATGGTACCAGAATACATGGTACCAGAATATATGTTACCAGAAACATGGTACCAGAATACATGGTACCAGAATATATGTTACCAGAATATATGTTACCAGAAACATGGTACCAGAATACATGGTAATTAGTTGAGCGCAAGCAGAAGCACCAATTTTTTTTAGATGGAACAGTGTCTTGTAATTTATGCCAAATAAATTTTTCTATAAGCACCTAAATGAGATTCTCGTATATAATTTCATATAATAAAATAGCAGAATAACTAAAAGACCCAAAGCTGTATTTACTGTTTATCCAGTAGACTTTCATAGAGGTGACAAACTTAAAACGCGAAATGTCTTTTATATAGAGCAACAATTCTCAAATTTTAAATTCAATATATAGAATTTCAAATAAATTCCTATGCTATAAAATAAATTTTAATTTATAATATGGCTTAAAAGTACACATTTATTTCGGTTACTTCTTTTTGAGTATTTTATCCAATCAGCAACATTCTACGACACTTTATTAATTCTCAAATATACAAGAAAAACGTCATAATGTTCTATAAATGTTTCCCACCGTTAGCAACTGACCAAAACATATATATTATGACACTATATTTGTTTTCATGGTTATTATGCTATTTGTTACACTATCTACTGTTAACTAAAACCAGGAAATATTCCCCTGGAAAATTAATATTTATTTTCTGTGAAACACAACAAACTATTTTTATACTCCGTACATGAAACTGATGAGTACTGCTCCATCTATATGTATGAAATAAAGATAATAATGTGACAATAACATTTTCAAAATCTGATGCTTGAATATGAATATTTCAGCACCTTAAAAATGTGTTAAGGCGAAACAGATAAAAACTGAGATATGGGACTTCTGAGCAAATAGCTAACATAAAATAATAAAACATATTTAATAGTAACTATTATGGTAATAAACTAGCAACAGAATTGTAACGGTTTGTTTGTTTGTAATTAAGCACAAAGCTACACAATGGACTATCCGTGCTCGGCCCACTACGGGTATCGAAACCCGGATTCTAACGTTGTAAGTCCGCAGACTGTGCCACTGGGGAGCAATTGTAACAGAAACCTGAAATAATGTACACATTTCAGACTTGTATAGGAATAAAAGATGACATGCAAAGTAAGCGCTTCAAAAATAAAGATGAAACATGTTTCCGTAATCAATTCAGATATATAAGATATTTTATAAGTAATAACGAGAAAAATAAGTATAAGAATATATTCAAATCCTGACAAGTTTAAACCTACATACGAATTTCTGTTTGTTTATTTTAAATTTCGTGCAAAGCTACAAGAAGGCTATCTGCGCTCGCCGTCCCTAATTTAGCAGTGTAAGACTAGAGAGAGGGCGGCTAGTCATAACCACCCACCGCCAACACTTAGGCTACTATTTTACCAACGAATAGTGGTATTAACCGTTAATTATAATGCCCCCACGACTGAAAGAGCGAGCATGTTTGGTGGGATGGGAGATTCGAACCCGCGACCCTCAGGTGGCGACTCAAGCGCCCTAACCACGTGGCCATGGCGGAAAGGAATTTCTGTCACGAGTAACATTACGGAGAGCATTATGTAGGATATGATTATAACCGATCGCACACGTAGCCAACACCAGGGATTATGGGATAACGGAACGAGAATTATCATAATTTGAGAAATCAATAGATGTTAGCTTAGCAACCATTTACACAATTAACGAGTTGAGGATCTTAATTAGGGATAAGGGAAATGGGAAACAACATTAAAAACACACGTGAATACAGTGAAAATAAGAAATAGTAGAAACGTGTTGTCAAGGGATCTATCGATGATGTTATAGAGAAGGCTTATATGTTTATTATAATAGTTTGTTTGTTATGGATTTCGCGCAAAGATACACGAGGGCTATCTGCGTTAGCCGTCCCTAATTTAGCAGTGTAAGACTAGAGGGAAGGCAGCTATTCATCATCACCCACCGCTAACTCTTGGGCTACTTTTTTACCAACGAATAGTGGGATTGGTCCTCACATTATAACGCCCCCACGGCTGAAAGGGCGAGCATTTTGGTGGGACGGGGCTTCGAACCAGGGACTCTCAGATTGCGAGTCGAGCGCCCTAACCGGTTACCTGGCCATGCCGGGCCATTAAAGGTAATGAACCAAACAGTATAACCATCCATAAGCTCTTCTTGTTTATAATGCTTCATTTGCTAATATTTCCTTTAATACTTGATACAAGGTTTTAATAAGTGACCATCTATTCTGAGAGTCCTTAAATGAAAGGATAAAATGCAAATGTAAGCTTAGAATTTCGCTTTCTTTCTACTCTACTATTCGTTGTTGCCCGTTTGAAGAAAGTTAAGTAACGTATATTTGTCCTGTTCGTACTTCTTTTTTATTGCGTCTCATTTCGCTTAGTAAATTTCTTTTTCCATTTGCGTGGCACTGCAACTCTGAGATAATCCTGTGTTAAACTCTACTCCCCTTGATAGTAGTTATGATATTTTTAACTCGTAATTATTTAACGCATTATAACGGATTACAAAATACCCCCCCCCCCACATTTTTTATAAAGTTTAATAGGCTACCAATCTTTACTGCATGGGAGTCGAAAATTATCGAAATCTTGTTCCAACAATACATTAATCCATAGTGGTTCTAGGACAGAACCCACATTATTAAGTGTAATTTTCACACTATTGGAAGATAAAATTCTCTTCTGAAATGCTTTAGTTAGTAAATAAGAGCGGTAATTCTGTTAAAATAGAAATGAATTTATAATGGTCGTAATAAAATTCTCTACATTAAGATCTTAAACGTCTTTAATGTTACAATACTAGCATCTTTCATGTAAACAGTAAAAACCTTGAATTAGCAAGGAATTAATTAATTGTATACCAAGGGTGAATGTGGCCTTCCACATTACAAAAAGATCAAATGAGGATGAAATATGGTTTCACTGACTGAAAATGTTCCTCAACACGTTATCTGTTATGATGTACATGTCACGTTGAAGAGGTATGTGACTCAAAGACAAGCTTAAACCATGTAGGTATATACGTAACAAAATACTGTAGTTCTAATGGTCCTTTAATTAATAATTTATAAAATTTTCCGGAACTTCGAAGATGTAACAAGTGCGTAGTTAAAGTGATGTATGCTAAAATATATGCAACAGTAAGAGTGTGAATATTGAGGGAAGTGCAATTTTCACTCAGTTACATTAGTGTCACAGGGACATTAACATATTTCTCTTATGCTTCGAAAGAGGGACCTGGTACTATTTATCATCTGGCTGTTGTGTCAAATACAGTCTGCGAACAAAATGGCGCTGAAACAACACCCATTGTGCCAAGGACATAACATTTATATGATTAGTCCTAAGAGGTGCGAGACGCAAGTCTTGCCGTGGAGAGAACGAAGTTACACTTTGTAGATGGTAGAAGTTGCTGGACCCCACGAAATTCATTATATAATGTAGATGACCTAATGATAATACTGAGGACTTATTCAAGAACGTAGACTTTTTTCTAATGAATATGTCTTATTTGCACACAGTAAATACTGATATATTGCCTGTCAATTCTGTTGTATGAGCCGTCATAATGAAATATGATGACATAAATATCTCCATTGTATAATTGATTAGAAAATACACGGCGTTTCTTCTTTAACCAGTTCATAAGAATTAATACAAAAGATACTTTTTAATTAATATATTGGTCTGTACATGTCAGTGGCCGCCATCTTGGAAATCATTATGATGTAAAAATATATCTCGTTATAATGGTTACCTTTCACACCTGTTACTATATTTGTGTAAATCATCTCTTATTCTGCGTAGTGGCAGAGCCGTGTATTCCTCATAATTGCTTAAAATGTTTCGTTTCAGATTCAGATGCAAATTTGAGAAAAGAGCCCTTTCAGGCATCAAGCTCCGTATTTGTTTTTATTACTTTATACATACCAATATCCATATACATAAATGAAATCAAACTCATGAACCATCTAAAACTCTCTGTCACGTAAAATCATTGTTTACAAATCTCCAGAGGTCTTAGTTAATGAACTTTGAATATAATGTCATGATTATTTAGAAGTTTTTACTTGACTGTCTTTTGTATTAAAATATATAGAGAAATTTTGTTTTGTTTGTTTGTTTGTTTTAGAGGAAAACCACATTGGTCTATCTGCTGTGTCTACCAGGGAAAATCGAACCATGGACTTTAGCGTTGTAAGTCCGTAAACTTATCACTGTCCTACCGGGGACTAAACACAGAACTAAACGCAAAATATTTTGTCATTATGACATGAATACATTTCTGGTTGTAATGATAGGAGTAAGTTTCTGAATAAAACTCAAACGTGCTTAATCCACTCAAAAATATTTTTACTTACACCAAAGACTATTTTCAGAGGCTGCTAAATAAATTCAGCTAAAATAGTTGTAGCAAAACTCAAGCTCCGAAGTGCTTTAACTGCGCAAACGAAGCATCTTACTAGCAGGGATGTCACCATGAAAAACTGGTAATTCACTGTGAATACAAACGCAATCTGTTCGTAGACAACGCAGGCAGACTTAGTTATGTTTCATGAAACAGTTAAGTGTATTCGAAATATGGCTACATCTCGATAATGACTTTTGACAGCGACCAATAAATAGTTTCATTTCCTTCAACATAATTTGTCAAAAAATAAGTATCCTCATGAAGTCAAGCACGTAGGTCATTCACGTGCCGTTCTAAATGCACTGGTACACACTACTTCGATATAGTCTCGAGAAATTGTGAAACTTAAGAACATTTAAAACGACACTCTTATCCAAACATATTTTGTCAGGAAAACTATAAATACATTATAGTAAGCATAGACGTATGCCTATTACTTCTGCCTGACATTGTTTTAAAAATGTTGTCAGACTCCTGTCAGAAAGTAAACACATTTATTTTGAAAGATAAATGCATGCATATATTGTTATTCAAAACATTTTATGATACCTTATTGAATACAAAAATACCCTGTAAATACCCTGTAAGAACATATTATCGGAATCCTGTTTCAAATAATAACATATTGTTAGGTTCTTGATGGAACGATATTGCTAGATCTTTATTAGAATATACGTACAGATTGATGACAAAACCTACTGCCAGCTTCCTGTTCAACTCATTACCATATCCTCTTAGATTTTTGTTTGAAGATATGTACAGATATACTGACCGGTAATATAGCTACACAAGAAATTATCGAGACTGCTAAAATGTTTCGAAATTTCGAATTTTTAAAGTAAATTCACCTACCTCCTCGTCACCGTAATTTTTAAAGTAAATTCACCTACCTCCTCGTCACCGTAATTTTTAAAGTAAATTTACCTACCTCCTCGTCACCGTAATTTTTAAAGTAAATTCACCTACCTCCTCGTCACCGTAATTTTTAAAGTAAATTTACCTACCTCCTCGTCACCGTAATTTTTAAAGTAAATTCACCTACCTCCTCGTCACCGTAATTTTTAAAGTATTTTCACCTACCTCCTCGTCACCGTAATTTTTAAAGTAAACTCACCTACCTCCTCGTCACCCTAATTGTTAAAGTAAATTTACCTACCTCCTCGTCACCGTAATCGAATCCGTATCTCTTCTTTGTTATATTTTTGATCTCTCGTGAAAATTCGGCATATTCCGGTGTATCTGGAACCCGATTCGTTATTGTTAACAGTGACTGGTAGGCTTTCCGAGCTCGATCGTTAGTTTTAGGCGGATCGTCCACATTGTACCATGGTCGATGTGTAGAATTTTTGCTGGAAAAAAAGTCATCGCAGGTATATTAAAAAACAACTTAACATTTATTTTTGTTTGATAAATGCTTACACGATACGAAATCGAATAATAAGCTGACAGGAACATTTTTGGACAGCGACTACTGGCATTCTTAAGTCCTTTATAAGTTTTGGGAGTCAGAATGTAAAATTTCCTACAAAATAGTTGTCCATAAATGATGTCCTTATTTACTGCATAAAATGCCTTATAACAATAGACATGCTACGGTGTTATTTATATCTTAGAAACTGAGAATGATACTTTGACATTTTAGAACTTGCTCAGACTATTAAATATGTGTTCTTACTGTAACTTAAGGCATGTTGACTAGCATCATTTGGAAGACAGTACATAACCATTTTTTCTTTAAAAAAACTAAACAGATCATTATTTATTTCAGTTTAAACGCCGAAATCAAGCGAAATAATAGAAAACGAATAGGCCTGAAAACTGTTAGGAAAAACAAGCTAACTTTAGATATTTTTTCGACCCGCAATGGACATATTAGCGTTAAAGATAAAGGATACCCAACTATCTGATGCGTAAAATTTAATTCTCATAAATATGATGAATTGTGAAATTAAGTAATAACAAAAAAAAGCTTAATAATTAAAAAGTGAAAACTTTTATTAAGAGCGGAGGCTTCAGACTTATCATACAAACTAAACGAAGTACAATAACATAGTTGCAAATAAAATCTAGTAATTATGGAAATTCTCAAAATAATTCAAGAAAACAGAGAGCTAAGATGGTAGTTACTGCCTTAGACATCACAGTGGGATCTAATGACATAAAAACCAAGCACAGAAGAAGTAAAGAAAGACAACTATAAAATAGGATTTAGTAATAGGCCTCTTTGTGAAAAATTGTTCCAAGGTATGAAAAAAGAGAAGTTAACAACGAAGAAAGCAGGAACTGTTAATGAAAAATATAATATATATATATATATATATGTAAATGAACATTTATAATTTTTTTAAAGAGTTATTTCATAAAAAGAGGAATATTAAAAAATAAAAAATAAATAAATTCTTATGGGTCAAGAGTGGTAGAGCTTTTATAAAAAAAAGGAGGATCAAAGAATGTTATATAAATTCTTATGGGTTAAAAGTTGTAGAGTTTTTTAAAATAGGAGGAATAAAAAACTTTTATATAAATTCTTATGGGTCAAGAGTGGTGGAGTTTTTATAAGAAAGGAAGAATCAAGGAGTTTTATATAGGTCAGAAATGAATATAATTTCAAAATATTGTAATGTAATATATTTGTATATTATTTTTAATGATGGGTAATAACTTAAGTAGTTTCAGCCCTTTAGATTTAGATTTTATTAATATGAGTAATAATACTGAAATCGCTCAAAGTGAAACAAAATTGGTTATTTTTCTAGCTTTTCAATGAGTTATATGAATGCAAGAAGTCTAAGAAAGAATATAGGTGAAATTTTACAAGAATTGCAGTGTGTAAAAATTGACTTTCCTCTTTTGATAGTTTTGGAAACTATTTAATGCTTAGTATTGAAGGTTATTGTGCATATTTTTCAAATAGACAAGAAAAAAAGGGTGGGGGTATTGCAGCATATAATATAGAGGAGTTATTATTTGGTGTACGTTAAAGTTTATTTATTTTAAATGATAACATTGAACTTATAGCATTAAAATTAAAATTTTTAATTTAGGTTCTCTTTATAAGCCACCTGAAGGTAACTTAAGAATATTTATGGAGGTTTAGAAACAATTTATGCTAAATAAAGAACAATCACATTTATCATAATAAAATATTTTAATATTGATATTTTGAATGGCCTGTATGATATAATTTATAATAATCGAAGTAACATTATAACCATTTTTAATTTGCCAAAAAGAGTAACGGGAAAATCAATACATTAATTGATTATGCTTGTGATTTTAAAATGGTTGAACTGGAAGATATTTGATAATTTATTACTGATTATTATCCTATTTTTTGTTTAATTAATACTTGGATATTTTTTAAAGTTTTCTGGGTTTATTACAATAGCTATTTGCCTATAGCAACAAGGAAAGCTACATCCAAAAAAGTATTAGAATTGATAGCAATAAACTTTGGGTAAACAATTATATATATAGAATAATAATAAAAATAAATTAGCTTTAAAAGCTTAATCATCTAGTAATGATGATAGAAATAAGTATGCTGTGTTTTGAAATAAATTCTTTGCTCATACTAGAAGTATCAAAAAAGTTATTATGATAGATATCATACTTTTATATGTTAATGTATAAAGTAAACAGAACTGTATTAATAATTTATTACTGAATAAATTATCCACAGAACAGTCTGTTAGTGATATAATTGTTCATTATGTTTCAACAACAGATTCACTAAGGAAAGCACACGCATTTAATGTCACTTTGATTGGTGTAATAAAGCAAATGGTGAAATAAATTAATCACAAAAATAATATATATATAAGTTTGATAATCCAAAAGACAATCCAATAAGTATATTTGCGAAACCAATAAACACTAGTGAAATAATTGATATTGTAAAAAAAAAATTAAATACTAAGGTAGTTGGATTGAAGAATATTTCTTTAGTAGTTTAAAAAATCATCGTGTCTATTGATATTCCATTGCAATACATATTTAATTTCTGTTTTGAAAAAGCAATATATCCAGATTCTTTGAAAAAAGCAAAAACAATACCAGTATTTTAAAAAGGGAGATAAAACAATAGTAATTATAGACCGATAACAATGTTAAATATATTCTAAAAAATATTAGAAAAATCAACTTGCAGCATACTTTGGGATTTTGTTAATAAATTTTATTGGTTGTCTGAACATCAGTGTAATTTTTATAAAGGCAAGCTATTCAAGTTTTATTTAAAATTACTATTGATAAAACAGAAAAAAGTGAATTTGTCATACCAGTGTGTTTTTAGACTTATCAAATGCATTTGCCAATGTAAAACATAAGCCATTGTTAAAAAAAATACATACACTCTGGGAGTAAGAGGTAAAATGTATGATCGGTTGGAGAGTTATTTTAAAAAATCAGAATCTGAATAACTGATATTGATAACAAGCATTTTGATGAATCAATAAATGCAAGAAGTGTTTCTCAGGGCTCTGTACTGGGAACACTGTTGTTTTAATCATATGTTAATGATATATCGGATTTATTATATGATATAAAGCAGATTTTATTTGCAGATTATACTACAATTTAAGCTCATAATAAGAATTTAGGACCTTTATTTGAAATGGTTAATTTGTTATTAGAGAGCTAAATTGTTGGCGTAGTGAAAGAAATTTGTTTGTAAATTTTGAAAAGCCTAAATTTATACTTTTTCTTAATAAAAATGATATTAGTAAGGAAGTTAATATATATATATATATATATATATGAATGGAGCATTGCATGAATGATATTCATCAACAAAGTTTTTGGGTGATATAACTGACGATAAATTAAATTGACCTAAGCACTTATGAAATATTAGTTAAAAGAAAATATTTAATGACTTTATATTATAGTTTTATTCATCCACATTTAATATGTGAAAATATTTGTTGGCGAAGTTCACTAGAATGTAATATAAATCCTTTTTGTTTCTTCAAAAAGGATTTATGAGAGTAATTTTGGAGTTAAACTATTGGGATTCTGTGTATCAGTTATTTCATAAATACATGATATTAAATATTTATGAAATAACTAACTATTTAGTAGATAATTTTATGTTTACGATAAAAAATTAATTAATTAATACACCCAGTCTTCAAACCCTTTTCTTAAAAAAGCAACAAGAACATCCATTGCCATGATACAAGAATTAATGATCAATATCACTTTTTAAAACATCACTAAACCAATATTCAATAATGTATGTGAGATAAAAATTTGGAATACTGTAAACTCTTTAAAAGTTTTAAAGTTTGTTTCAAAAACTATCTACTAAATTTACGATTTACTTAAATATATTTTTTACTTAGTTAAAAGATATTACACTATTGTCTTGTTAGTGATATCAAATATACTTTAACTTTTTATGTATTTGTGTTTATTCACTTCTTTTAATCATTAATAGTTTTTTCTTGTTAGACAGGATACACTTTGTATGAATGCATAAAAAAGATGGTCATTTTTATTTACGGTGATGATCAATCGAATGCAATGCTTTTTAAATTTCTTCAACTTACACAATAAATGAACAATATTTTTTTACCGCAAATAGTGTTTTATTTGGTGAAAGGAATTCGTAGTCCTTTTTTTATTTCACGTTTATTCTGAAATTCTCAGGAAATTTTGATCACTGTGAATAATTTTGTAATTTGAAGAAAATGTTATATTTTACGTTATTTAATCAGATTTTTCTTATTGAATGAGGCCGAGCGTGGCAGTGTTCAGCATGCCGGACTGTGAATCCGATGTTCCCTGGTTCGGGCTCCGTTACCGCTGAAAGAAAACAAAATTGAACCCGCACTTTGGGGCAGTAAGTGCGCTATAAAACTGATGGTAAAATCCCACTATTCAATTACCCATGAGTTGGTGTAAGTGGTGTTTACTAACTGTCTTCCCTCTTGGCCGTCACTTCAAAATTAAGGAACAACTAGCACAAATATCCCAGTTAGTGAACACCTAGCACAGATATCCCAGTTAGTGAACAACTAGCACAGATAACCCTTGAGTAGTTTTGCGCTAAATTCACTGAATCTCCCTCTTTGTGGGTAAATACTCTGGTGCGTTTGGTTTTCTAGATTTAGTTCTTTTATACTGATCAAAAAAAGAAACCTTTCGACTTTTAGATATAATTTTTAGCGCAATAAAAGTCGTATTTTAACACCTTAATCTATATTGTGCGCTGAAATAAATCATTCGGCAGAAGTATATTGCTTATTATTACTGAAAAGTTATTCAAATGCAACCCACGCCAGGTGGTGGAAAGTGTTTTTCATCACGAATCCAGAGGACAATATGCTATAAATTTCCTCGGAAG